AGGGGCACAGGGCCCCGGGGTGGTGGGAGCGGCCTGTTCCTTGCCCTGTGATTCTTCAGACACCGTGTATGGTCGCGTACTTCTGTGTGTGTGCTCCCATTTCACAGATTTTACCAACCGCTCTGGCCTCGGAGCAGGCCTGTCTGGGCCCTGGTGCACTGGCCGAATTACTGTGTAGGAAGTAATTGTGTAGGAATTACTGTGTAGGATCTCGGGGGTCTCGACACGGCCTTGACCTTCCAGGAGGCTCCCCCTGGCCTCCCCTAAGCTGATGGAAGATGCCCCCCTGCTCCACACATGGCTGGCTTGAGTATGTGCCCGTCAGTCCAGAGAAAGCTCCCGCTGGGAACGGTGCATAGGGGTCACCTCTGTCCCTTCCCATCGCATGCTTTCAGGCTCAGCCTGGGCCTGCGGGGGCCTTGGGAGTCAGCTTGTTTCGGCCCGTCGAGGATGGGGCCGTAGCCTGGGCACCTCCAAGACTGGAGGGCGGGGAGGCCTCTCAGGAGAGACCCCTGATTGCTGCCAGTCCCACTGAATTCCTGGACCAAAGCCCCACTGCCCAAAGGACTAACAAGGGAGATGAGCCAGTGGCCAAGAGGAATGAAGTCATGGGTGAAAGATGACCCCCAAATTAACCATTTCCCTGGGCCAGAGGCCCATGCAGGACTAGACCTGGCACTGAGAGGGGCTTAGGGCAAAGGCGTTGACCCAACAACAAAGGGGGCCCAGCCCACGGGCCAGAGAGCAGGGCTCATGACCCCAAAGGGACCAAGATTTAGCCCTGGGAGGGCCACTCCCCTCCTGTGTGCCCCACCCCATGGTTGAGTGCTGAGACCCCTCCCGCAAACGCCCCACAGCCAACCCCAGAGAGAGGAGACCCAGCTCTCGGCCGTTTTCCAAAGGAGCAGGCAGCCAGGCTGGGGAGCTGCCCACAGCCACACAGCCAGTGACCCGCCAACAACCCCAGGCCTCCATCTGGTGGTGGAGGGAGGCCCTCCCTCCGAGAGGCTCCGCCCTCCTACTGGGGAGAGTGGGGCTCCTCCAAGGGGGCCCGAAGGAAGAATGGGGTTCAGAGAGGACACGAGCGGCCAGCAAACCCCACCCACCTGAACACAATGAGCTGCATCAAGCACACCGTTGCCCTCAGCCCTGAAGCAGGCAAGATCCGCCCTGACCTCGGTGCAGAAAACCCCGCACCCCAGAGGCAGCGAGGGCCGTCCTGGGGACGGGGCACCAGGTCACGAAGGCCCAAGAAAGCGAAGGCAGGAGGGCCCCGCCACAAGCTCACAACTCCAGCAAGAGCGCGTGAAGTGCGAGCTTCCGAGTCTGGGAGCCCCCGGCTTCCCCTGACCCGCAGCCAGTGAAGGCTCCCCGGGCAGACCGGGCGGCCGGGGGAGGCCGGAGGGCAGCCTGGGCTTACGGGAGGGACCGCAGGGAGGGCCGCCAGCTCCCCTGAAAGCTCCAAAACAGATCATCGTCCCCTTTCACTCAGGTCCCCCTCCTGGGAGTTTACCCAAAGAAGGAAAAAGCTGTGAGCACAAAGGTCACCAGAGGGTTGTTTATAAAGAGACAAAACGGAGGTTTACACGGCCAGCGAGGGCTGTGTCCTGATGGTGCTGCCCTTGCCGGGTGGCTGGGCAGCCTTTAAATCCAGCAAACCCAAGGACACAGACCTGTGCCTAGGGCGGCCGCTTGCCCTTTAACAGACTATGGAGTTCTGCAGAGATCACACTTCAGGGCATAAGAAACCCCGGACAGATGAAAACAGCCAACGTGTCCCAGTCTCAGTTTGCTCATCTATAAAATGGGGCTAATTCCACCCACGCTTCCGGGGTGTGAGGCTAAGGATGTGATAACATAGGCAAAGGGCGCGCCTCCAGGGCCCGACCCAGGGGAGCGCTCAAGAAATAGCTCGATCAAGTCAAAATGATGGCGCCCTCATCGCATCTAAGGCCGGGAAAGAACAAGAATGGCGACACCAGCGTTGGCGAGGCTGTTGGACAGCCGCCTCAGCATCCTCGGAGCACGTGCTCTGAGACCCAGAGACTTCACCACAGGGAACTGGACCTGTGCGTGTCTTTGGAATATTAAGCCAGCATGTGTCTGTGACAGTGCAAACTAATGATCAGGTGCCAGCAACACCGGAAACAAATGCCCACCGAAGCAGACGGGTTACCGAAACTGCGCCATCCACAGAACGAGACTGGGAAATTGCCAGAACAAGCTAGAAAGAGCACATATGCATATCATTAGTTCAGAGCTCAATACCCTTTTTCTAAGGATAGCCTGAGAAGCTCCTTTTGCAGAGACACGGATTCGGTAGAGATGGGCAAGTAGATATGTTTTGAATTTCACGTGTTCATTTTGCAAAGGGAAAAACCACAGGCCCAAACATCACTTGCGCTAAAAGCCCATGATACTAAACCTAGATTTAATACATGATCTACCTGCGGTTTCAGCCTCTCCCAGAATCATCATCTTACGCAGTCCGGGATTTTCTGGTTGAACACCAGTAATCGGTCACGTGGGCCCTGAACAGGAAATCTACATGATAAAATCCTTCCCTTTCTTTTCTCCCAAAGAAGGATGTCCCAGCCCTCAAAATAATCCTGTTTTCTTTTGTCAGTAGCCCCCTTTCCCCCCTTTCTGTCTATAAAAACCTTCCATTTTGCCCAGCCAGCAGCCAGTGTGGCTCAGTTGCTGAGTCATCAACCCATGAACCTGGAGGTAACAGTTGGATTCCAGGTCAGGGCACAGGCCCGGGTTGCAGGCTCGGTCCCCAGCAGGGGGCGTGCAGGAGGCAGCTGAGGGATGATGTTTCTCATTGTTGTTTCTATCCCTCTATCCCTCTCTCTCTAAGAAAAACCACAAAAAACCCTTCCATTCTGCACAGCCCTTCCGGGTGCCCTTCTGGCTGCTAGATGAGATGCTGTCCAATTCATGAATCGCTTAATAAGCCAATTAGATCCTCAAATTTACTCAGTTGGATTTTGTTTTTTAACGGTTTATATAACATATATATTACAAATATCTGTGTTAACAGGGTTATTTAGATGGCAGAATTACAGGCCATTTCTTTTTTAAAAAAAATATATTTTTATTGATTTCAGAGAGAGGAAAGGAGAAACATCAATGATGAGAGAGTCATGGATCGGCCGCCTCCTGCACGCCCCCTGCTGGGGATCGAGCCCACAGCTCGGGCCTGTGCTCTGATGGGGAATCGAACCGCGATCTCCTGGATCCTAGGTCGATGCGCAACTGCTGAGCCACGCCGGCTGGGCTACAGGCCATTTCTTTACTGGTTTTTAAAGTATTTAACAAAATTTACCATCTTAACCTTTTTTCCTTTTTTAGAAATAGATGACTTATTTTTTTAAAAAATCCTCACCCAAGGATATACTTTCCATTGCTTTTCAGAGTGGAAGGGGGGGAGAGAGAGACATCAATTGGTTGCCTCCCGTGTGTGCCACGCCTGCAACCGAGGTACGTGCCCTTGGTCAGAATCGAATCCAGGACCCTTCAGTCCACAGGCTGACGCTCTCACCGCTGAGCCACACCTGCTAGGGCCCGTCTTAACCATTTTTAAGTGCATTTCAGTGGCATCAAGTACACTCACACTGTCGTGTCACCACCATCCACCTCCAGAGGGCTTCAGCACTCGCGGTGGGAACTCTGCCCTGTTCAACACTAGCTCCCCTTTCCTCCCGCTCCTTCCGGCCCCTCCTCCATGTCTGAATCTGACCCCGCGAGGGCTCTCACAGGAGTGGAGTCATACAGTATTTGTGCTTCTGCAACCAGCGTATCTCACTTCGCGTGATGTCCTTAAGGGTCATCCTTGCCGTCGCACGTGACAGGATTTCCTTCCTTTCTAAGACCAACCACATGCCATTGTGCGGAGAGGCTGCGCCTCGATAGCCATTCAGCCCGCGACAATGGGCCTGGGGTGTTTCCACCTTTGTGGGGTGTTTCCACCTTTGGGCCGCCGCTCCGAGCGGGGGTGTGCAGTCCCTGTTCAGGACCCTGCCTCGGTTCCTTTGGGTGTTGCCAGATCACGTGGTAATTGTTTAAATGTTTGAAGACCTGCCAGACTTTTCCACAGTGGCTGTATCATTTTGCGTTCCCACCACTCTATTTTAAAATTGTTTTGTTTTAGTGGCTGCTAAGGAGACTGACTTGAGGGCTTCGGACTTGTTCCCGGTGCTGCTGTGCGGTTTCTAAAACCCGGGAGACGTTCTGTGCTGGCACCTGACGTCTTCCACAGCGACCTGGGGAACCCCTGGACTCGGCCCCAGCTGGTGGCGGCCCAGGTGCCGCGGGGCCAGGTCAGGAGCTGCCCCGGGTAGAGTGGCTCCTGAGAAAGTGGAAAACGTCACGAGGGCACTTACCTCCACAGGCCCTGCCAGCGCCAGGGATTCCTGGCGGCAGACGCGACCACTGTCCCCCGAGGCTGAGGGGAGGCGCCTGCTGAGTCAGGCCTCACTGCCTGTCAGCAGGGAATGCGGCCCTGGGCAGCAGGCGGTGCCTGCGGCTTGGGAGCTGCCCGAGCAGGCCTGGGCACGGGCTCCAGGGCCCTGGTCATGGGAGCGGTGCCCAGCCACAGGCAGCTGCAGAGTGGGGCCTCCAGGAGCCCTTTGAGGTCAGGCCTGCAGCTTCTGGGACCCTCAAACCCCCTCCCTTAGGTCTCTCATTTGGGCCAGGGAACACCTGTGCTGGGAAAGGAAGTCAGGGTGTGAGTGATAAAAGATGCAGATCCCTGGGCCCAGGTCCTGGATTTGGGTTAAGATGTGGTGCTGGGCCTGGAAATCTGCATTGCTGAGCACGCTCAGGTTTGGAGAGAGGATTTGTGAAACAGTTGGCCTCATTCTCTGAAGAATTCAGAGGTAGGGGTGTGGCCCCCCAACTAAGGCTGGCTAGGAAAGCTCCCGACATCAGCCCTGCAGGGGTCACGTCTGCCAAGCCCCTGGCACGCAGAAGGGGTTCGGAACTGGAGTATGCAGGACCAACTGGAGGGCAGGGAGCACCCTCCTTCAGGACCCTGCCTGCCTCCCTGCTCTGCCGGGGGGCCTCCAGGAGGAAAGGACAAGGCTTCAGTGATGCCGCCCGTCTCCAGTCCCCCAGGGAGGATGGACCGGCAGTCGGGCATTTACCCCGATGCCATTGGCGACGGGCGTCACGCTCAACTCCACTCGGGCTTTTTATCCAGCCCTCAGGCCAGAGGCAGATACGGGGCGGCCGCGAAGGGAGGTAACCGCCCAGCCTGAGCCACAGTGCCAGGGTGGGAGAGCCGGGACTTAGCACCCAGCCCGGCCGGTTCCAAACCCGCACGGCGAGCAGCTGGGGGGAGGGGGGCAGAACGACAGGAATCAGTTAAAACACCCCCATATTAGCTGTGTGAAGCTCCAGGCGCCAGAACGTACCCGGGAGGCCACGCCTTGCCAGGCTGCTTGGTCCCCTAGCAGGTGGCTCTGTGGGACAGCCAGGGAGCTGGGAGCCTGGCCCTCTCCCTGCCCCCAGGAGGTGGGTCTGTGGGAACCAGTGAGTGGTCGCACCAGCTGGGATCTTCAGCACCCGAGTCAAACCCCCCATCCTCTGATGCCGACAAGTGCTTTCAATTGTCAGGTGCTCTAAAAGCGGAGCCTGTTTGCCTCTTCCACCCGAACGCGGCAGTGGCAGCGCTGGAGCCGCAGGAGGGAGGGCCCGAGGGATCAGCCCAGGGGGATGCTGGGGTGGAGGGGTTGCAATCGGCAGATAACCCCGAGGGACTCTTCGGGGTCTTGGTGACGGGCCTGACAGGCAGACAGAAGACTGGGAGGCGGGGCGGGGCCCCCTCCCCGAGTCGGGGGAATGGCTGCTCGGAGGCAAGCTGAGGCTGCATCCCGGAGTGAGCACTAAGGCCAATGAGCCGTGTCTCCCCCAGGCCACACGGTCACCTGCCATGGCCCCGACAGCTTGCTGGGCTCTTTAGAAACTGCTCTATCAAAGGATGCTCCCCAGGCTTTGGTTTTCATACTGAAAGATACTTTAACAGTAACTTTTTGTCCATTTAAAATTGCAGTTATCAGATGTTCTGAGCTCCTAAACTATACACTTCCATTGTTTTACTTTAGAACTTTCCATTTACATCAAATTCACATTTTGTACCACCTTTGACTGATTTTGCTTAAATGAGAATTTGGGGTTAGTCGTGCCACCATCACCCCACTTCACTTCCTGGTTAACTACATTGTCAAAAGCATCACCTCTTAAACAAGGGGGAGTCTGAGAGCATCCAAGCCCAGGGAATGAACCCCCTGCTGACCCCACAGCAGATGCCAAAACCAGACACGGACCTCAGAGCTCCTGACAGCCAGACAGAAACAGTCTAAAATCTGGCCAAAGGCTCTTCCCCCAGGGAAATTACCAATAAAAATGCAAATGGATGAACCAGCTTAGTGTTACCTGAGGTTCCCAATCCTACTGGCTCCCAACAGTCTGAGAAGAAAGGGAGTCTATGGCAAATAATTCTGGGGTTGAATCAATGCATTGTGAGAGGAGGAAAAAAAAAGAACCTATAAAGAGCTTCCATTCTGATCAACCCAACACCATTACTGTGCAAAAAACAGTTTTATTAGTTAATTACCCAGGTGTACCTCTGGTTCATGCTCTAGGTCACACCTGTATCTCAGATCCGGCCCAGGCTCATAGGCAAGTTACCAGATTAGCAAATAGGAAAACTGTTCTGCAAAATAGCAACTGTCAGCTTAAGGCATTACTAACATTGCAGAAGGAAGCAAGGTTACTAGGGAGGTTTGGACAGCCCAGGATGATTTCTGGGACAGGAAACCCTCTCTGAAAGGGCCAACCCAGGCTGCTGTCCCGATTAGGAGCTGACACTCTTGCTCTGGGTGACAGGTCACTCCTTTCAAACCCATCCACATCACAGACAAAAACACTATTCCTTGGGCTTTCAGATTTGGAAATTAAGTTATATAAAAAGTACTCTGTCCCAGAAGTCCCAGCACATTTGTGGGCCTCCCAGGGGCTCACTCAGGCCTCCCTGGCTGGAGCGGGGAGGGTGGAGACATGTGGAGGTTGGTCAGGCTGTTCTAGAAAATGAAGTCAATACTAGAAATATGGAGCCAAGGGGCAGAAGGCCCTGCTGCAGTCACATGCTGAATCCTTGTCCTCCCAGAGAGCGGGCTCCTACGGGTTCTTTCGGTCCACAGAAGTGCTCAGGGCAGGGCAGGCCAGTGTGGCCACGGAGCTGCCGCCCGCCTCACTGCATGCCGAACCACTGCTCCTGGTCGGCCCACTGGGCCGCCTCACTGTCGCTGCCCTCCAGGTCCCCTTCTTCCCCACTCCCTTCCATGTCGTCCACATCCTCCTCCTGAGTGGCGTCCGTGGGACTCTCCTCCTTCTCCATCTTCTGCATCCCCTCTAGAGACTTCTGGTCATTGGGGTCCAAACTAGGGGACAACAAAACAAAGGAGAGGCCTGAATCTCTGTCTTGCTTCTTGCGGGCTGATGCGTCACCTCCCTGGCACAGCAGTGAAATGACCGCCCAGTCACAGAGAAACTGCTAATGCCTGGCCTCTCCGAACAACTCCAGTTCCACAGGCGGGATCAGGGGAGTCCACCACTAGAAGGAAAAACAGGCGTCTTGTCCCTAATTTTTAGAATCCTCCATTTGGGTTTTTCTCCATTTATTTCTTAAATCTTTCACACATTACCCCTGATGTTATGCTAGAGGAAGCTGTCAGATAACACAAATGAAAAAGTAGTAAACAATCATTAACAGGAAAATTCAAATGTAATTTCTAACGATATTGGGTTTTTAAGCTACAGGGTTACAAAAAATGCTTCTTCGAGCAAAACTGTTCCATGTTCTTAGGATATAATTAAACATATCAGCATTTCAGTAGTTAATCAAAACCATGCTTACCATGGAACAGATCTGTCAACTCTTAGGTTAAACCCCAGGACCCAAAGCAACCCCTACCTGGGCATTCAAGTCTAACAGCTAAGAGCCATTACACATGCAAAAGCCCCCAAAGTTCAAAAGCTCAAGAACATTTATTTACTTGGCTCCTAAGCAATCTTTCCTCTTTTCTTTGTGACCACCACCCAGGCCAGCAGGTATCCAGTCTCTAACAAATCCCACCTCTAATGAAAGTCTGGCATTTTATTTTCTCACTTGTTTCTGGGCTTCCTAAAAGCAAACAAAATCCACATGGGAATCCTGTTCCTACTTATGTAACTGTAGATTGACCTGTAGCATCTCCTCTTCTCTAAAACCTTCCATACAGCTCTCACCCACACCCGGGGCTCCCCACCCTCTGCACTCCCACCTTGCCTTCTAGGGACTGCTATGAAAGCGCTTAGCACGTGGTATCCATCAGTCTGTCCGAGACTGAGAGCAACTGGAACCGCAGCATCCCCAGTGGTTACTGAGATGCCAGGCACAGGCGTGGTCACGCTCAACTGCTGAGTAAGTGAATGAATGTGATCAGATTCAGTCAGAGACAGGCCATTACCATGGCCTTAGACACACAGACGACCCTCAAAGAAATCACTTCTGCACTAAGCAGTAAGAATGCCACTATTTATTTAGTATTTACTATGTACCAGGCACAGTGCTAAGAGCTTTACATGGAATAATCATTTAATCCTCATTTAATCATTTAATACCTAATAAGGTAGATAGATATAGACAAGGAAATCTGTTAGTAACTTGCCCAAGATAACAGGTGGTGAAAGTAGTATTCAAACTTCAAAGTGTAAGTTCTTAACTACTACAAGTAGGTAGAAACATGGGAAAGTACTTATAATACTTTGATTTGAAAAAGCAGCATATAAAATATATACATTTAACCCTATAAAAATATGTATATGTGTGGTCAAGGCCAGGAAGATGACTTACACAAATGAAAACAGATGTTATAGTGGTGTGAGCTGGTTATGAGTGAGACGATTCTTTAATGTTGTTAATATACTTAAGAAAAATTTTTTAGAAGTCATAAATTCACAAATTCCTTTTCTAATATTTCTGTTTTCAACTGTGGGCACAATGTGTGTGTTTTCAGAATTCCTGTGACAGTGCCCTGCCTTCTCTACCCATCAGCCTTCCCCCCGCGGGAGGCTAGGTGCCTACCTTAGTGCTATACTATACTGGTCCATTGCTTCCTGATACTCATTGACAGCTACAAGGAAATCTCCTAGGATCCGATGCAGGACACAGTCACTCTGATTAGCTAGTGCGTTCCTCAGCAGCGCAATTCCATCTTCGTATTTCTGCTCTCTGCCTAAAAAAAAAAAAAAATAACCCTCATTTCCCTACTTACACATTTTGAAGATATATTCCCATCTCAAGTCTTATATACAAAACCACAACACGGATCACAATCTGATAATCTATTTGTACATGTCCTCAAGAAACAGTGGTGTGGTAGGAAGTGAGAATAAGTGCATCTGAATTCTTATTCCATTAGGAAGTCTGGAGTTTGGGTTCTGATTTTTTAAAAAATATATCTTTACTGATTTCAGAGAGAGGAAGGGAGAGAGAGTTGAAACATCAATGATGAGATAGTCATTGATCGGCTGCCTCCTGCAGGCCCCCGACTGGGGATCGAGCCCACAACCCGGGCATGTGCCCTGACCAGGAATTGAAACGGGATCTCCTGGAGCCTAGGTTGATGCTCAACTGCTGAGCCATGCCAGCCAGGCTGATATCCCCCCCAGATATTATTAATCTAAATTCAAATAAAAAGCCAGCATGCATTTTATTTGCCAAACTAACCCAAACCCAGGAGTTCATCGTAAATTGGAAACAGACAAACAAACAAACAAAAACAAGGCTGGCCTTGGTCGTCCCGGTCAGGGCACATATCCAGGTTATGGGTTTGCTATCCAGTTGGGGTGCATGTGGAAAGCAACCTCTCTCTCCCTCTCTCTCTCTCTAATCAAGAAAAACATGTCTTTGGGTGAGGATTAAAAAATAAATAAAATAAAAACCAAACAAGGCTAAACGGGAGATCATAAAGAGTATACAGATGGGTCAAAACAGCTCAAGTTGGCTCAAACCAGTTGTATTCAGTCCAAACTGGTTCAGGACAACTAAACCTGGTCAAAGTGAGCTGAACAGGTAGCAACCAAGTACAGCTCCACAACAGTCAGTTACTGCCAATCCAAGCAGGTCTAAGCCAGCTACATTTGGCTGTGCGAAACCAATTCACCTGGGCTCAGACCTACTGCCAAAGGAACACACTTGTCTGATCGCCTGTAACCAGCAGGACTGGGGAAGCCAACTGAGATAAGCTTTTATACAATGAAAAATGAACAGGGAAGTAAACGAAGTACACTTACTAAGTAGTTCTGCTTTTTTCACCACAGCCTTAATGTAATCCGGCCTTTGGTTCAGGGCTTTATCCAATAAAGTTTTAGCTTTTTCCTGTGTCACTGGGTCTTCGAGACAAACAGTGGCTAACAGGGTAAGGGTCTGTGCATTTGCTCCTAGAGTTTTGTAAACGTTGTTAGCCATTACCATTGCTTCACGAATACTGTTGGAAGCTAAGTAACACTCGATGAGACCTAAAAAAATAAAACACAGAAAGCTCAACCATATTACCATTCCAAGCCAGGCTTCCACTCTGACAGCCCTCCAAGTTATAAACCTTCAACGTTTCAGACAAGAGACAGGCCAGGGGAAACTGATGGTGAGATTAGACTGGAGGGTATGTTGATGGAATAACTAAAAGTGCTCCTCCTCACAGCACTATGGAGATGGACAAAGCCCACAATGCAAAGGCACCTGCCTGATAAACCAAAGCATGCATGCAGCTCAGCTGACTATTAGAGGAAAGAGCACTACACTAGTCATTAGCTGAAATAGTGACAGATGTTTCCAACAAACCGAGGTTTCACTGCCTCTTCACAAGCTGTTAATTTCCAGCTGCGTTCCATCACTGTTAGTTCTAGTTTTAAGCTCCTGTAGTCCAAAGTGAGTGTCCAGTCCTACAAACTAAATGCCCTTGGAAGCAACCCAAGGAGAAAGGAAGACTTTTTTCATTTGAAACATAAAGTTCTCTCCAAAAGCATTTGCTGAGGACTTCCCTAAACTAGATGAAAGCACTTCATCAGATGGACCAAATATACAGAGATTGGCAGCTCCTGCCTCTTTTCATACCCACAGCAAGACAGGCGCCCTATGGGGACACTTCAAGTAGTCAGCTCTCAATTTCTCATGCCAACAAGTCGAGGAGAACAGAGGAAGTACTTTTTGGCACAAAGCACTCATCAAAACAGAAAAACAGCTTAAACCCCAAACCCACACAATCCCTGGCAGATTTTCTCTCCATAGTCCTCCACCCTCGCAGCATTTATAACGTTTGTGCACATTCCACCACACACTATGGTTACTTAACCAGAAATTACCTAACTCTTAAGGGCAACGTGTTGGAGTCAGAATATGGTTGTTTGCAACTACTTACTGAGAAGTTCTACTTCCCTGCTAAAGCCCCACCGGAATGTCAGAAGGAAATGGAAAGAATGCACTTCGGTATCCAGGGGCCCCATCAGTAAAAGAAGCTGGGCTGGAGGTTGCAGGGAGCACCAGAAGGCACAACCAGAGTTACCCTGATCCAGTCTCCAAACAGTAGCTTGAGTGGTGGCAGCTCTTGAAGCCTCACTGATAGCCAGCTAGGGAATGGCCTATGCCCCCAACAACTGGAACCAGTCCGCGTCCAGCACTGTGTAGTGGAGCGATTCAACTGCACCCTTGGGCTCCGGTGAAGCAGGCATGCAGTGCAAAGGAATTAGCATGATAAAAGCATCTGGGAGGTAGGAAGTTATGGTTTCAGGATTAAGAATTTAATTTGAAACCAAAAGCTTGGTTTGCTGGGGTTTCTTTTGGAATAAATCCACCATGGGCATAGCTTCTGGCTATCTAAGCAGGTTTGTTCTTTACCCCAACTTACAAATTTTATTTTTCAAATGTGAACTCATCTTCCTTTAACAGCCAATCACTCCTCGACACCTGGGTTTATTTTTAAATTCTTATAAAAAAATGCTCTGGAGGAACTGCATCTTGTAAGATCTATTTTAAAGTCTGTGACTGAGTCACCAAGTATTCCTGAAGCTGGCACAGCTCCTTTGAACTCCTAGGGTCAGTTCACATGAACAGTACATAACCAACAAAACAAAGTCTGACCCTGAAGGTGCCGCTCTGGAGGTCACAATTAACCGACCAATTCCCACAACCAACACCATCACAGGAACACGGAATTACCCCATGAGTAATGTTGCTCGCCCAAGGTAAGGCAACTGTGAAGAATAAAGACATATAATAACCAAGTGATTCAGCACAGTGCCAGCAAAGGTTCTCATTACTGAGTGGGCCACGTTTGAGAAACCAAAGAAAGGGCCAAAGACTACCTCAACTACTTACTCCCTCACCAAAAACAAAGAATGAGCAAATGAGTTCTGAAAGTACAAAGTGAAAACTCCAGTGAAAGCCCCAGAGTCATTTAAAATGTCGAATGCAGTGATTCTCAAACTTGTCTGCACATTAGCATTACCTGGGATCTTAAAAAACCAGATGCCTATCTCCCACTCCCAAATATTTTTATTTAAATGGTACTGGAGTGCCTTAGCATCAGGATTTTTAAAAGTTCCCCCAGCGGACTCTAATGCACAACCAAGTTTGGGAACTGCCGGCCTAACAAAACCTTCCCTCTCAGTGCTGCGGCCACACCTACAGATTCACACTGTCATCTATAATTTTTATCTTACCTTCATAACAGTCTAAGCGACAAGGTGCAAGCCGTATAGCCTCCCGAAAGTGGATTATTGCTTCTTGGACTCTGCCCATGTTCCTGAGTGCTGCTCCCTTAAGCAGCAAAGCCTGAACACTATTACTGTTCAGCTGAATGGCCTTGGCTCCTAAATAGAGGGCCCGGGAGTAGCGTTTGCTATAGAAGCTATGACACCTGGAGAAGAAAACAACCAAAAGTCATCTGAGAGAAGACTAAAGGCATGCCATGTTTTCATTGTGCTTTGTTGTTCTTCACAATGCTGCGTTTTTTGCAAACTGAAGGTAAGACCCTCCACCAACAAAAATGTTATGGCCCACTTTACTGCAGTAGTTGGAACCGGACCTGCAGTATCTCCGCGGTATGCCTGTATAAAGAAACTGCATCCAAAAATCAGAGAAGGCCCTCCACACAATCCTTATTACAAACCACACTTAACCTAAGATATTAGTGAAAGAGCAGAACAAAAAAATCTACTAAATATTTATTTTTAAGGGGGAAATCTTGATATGGAAGGAGAAAACTATGGTAAAGAACCTGATGATCTGGGTATGTTATCAGATTAGAGACATTCAGAGAATTTATAAAGCCAGGTCAATAACAAAGCAGCAGCTCCTGCGTTGAGCACGAGCACTCACTATCTAGGTTAATACCTACCCCATGAAGCAGGGGCGTCACCCCCATTTTCCAAAGGAGAAAAGACTCAGGTAAATCACGTGTTCAAAGTCAAAGACCATAATTTGAATCCAAGTCAGATTATCTCTTAAACCTGTCTGATTATCTCTTAAACCTGTGTTTTCAAGCTATATTCTATTCAAGAAGAACCACAATTTCCTAAAGAATCTGCTCGAAACTGGGGAGAAAAGGGAGTGCATAAACATACCCAGAGACTACCCAAGGTTCTGCATGCTGATCAGAAATATTGAAAAGGCGGCAGCCAAGATTCTCCACATCTTCCAGCCGCCCTTCTCGTGCCAGGAGGTAGCCATATACATCCATTCCTACAAAGGAAGAGGCCCTTTAAACAAAGCAGCAGGGGTCCTTATAAAGGAGCAGCACCATCCTCAGAGCCCACACTGAGCTCCTTCAGGGTCTGAGCCCTTTCCACCATCATGAGCGCCTTCCATCAGCATTCAAGTTCCCAACAAAATGACTTATAAAAAGAAAAAACACATCCAAAACTAAAGAAAAAGCAAAGGAGTAGGACCTACCTCACAATTGGAAAGCCTGTTATTTTCAGGAACTGTTTGTCCCTACATCCTGTGGCGTGATATACAACTATCCTAACTCATAACTAGAAAGGCCCAAAAAAGGTATCAAGTAAGTCTCTCTTCCAAGAGGTCTAGGCACAGTCAGGAATACACACTTAATATGCCAGTTGGTCTTGGAAAAATGTTAGTCTATTCCAGAAAAAGCATCTAGTTCTTTCTGGAGTCTAGAAAATCATCCCCCTCCCCCTTTATTCTCTTATGCTCTATAAAAAGGGCCCCATGCTCGCCGTCACGTGTCTCTTACCACCATTTCCCTCCATTCCTTGCTACCCCTTCCGATTCCCAGGAAAATGTGTCTCAAGCCAAGATTACTGCAACACTCCCTGCCGGCCCTGACTCTGGTCTGAGCTTCTAATTCCAAGCTGCTGACAACTGCCAGACTAGTATTTCTAAAACACCATTTTCATCATGGGCATGGGTCACTTGGAGAAGAGAAATAAGCACTGGGCAAGAGCCCTTAAGCAAACAAACTCGTCTTTCTGAATCTGTTTCCTCCTCTCCGTGCTCTGGCATTCTTGTGGCTTAAGAGTCTACAAGACCATTTATTATAATAACAAGGTCATTCTGATGGCCTTTTCTGGGCCTTTACGAGCAGACCTCAGCCTTTCTGTCTGACCTTATTTCCCACGTTAGTCCTAAGCACACACCTTCACTTACTGCCCATCACCCAACAGTCACCCTTTAAGTCCCTGTGGCTTACCCCTTCAACTACCATCTTCTTTCAGATCAGTAATTTGTGTTATTTCCACTCTTAGTTACTTCCCTTAATTACCTTATCCCTTTTTCAGTATCTGTTCATTTACTCCCTTTTAACTATACTAAGGACACAGTAAAGCTAAATCCCCTAAAAGGGTATTATGGTTCTGGGGATGCCATCCAAACTGTCAGGCACATCATAAATCCATAAATCTATAAATCACAAGGAGAGGCTACGACTCCTTGCAAAAGAAAAAATGCTAAATAATGACCTGTGGTGAGATGACACTGGAATGAAGCAAAAACAACTGCTCAAGTGGAATTACAAGCGTTAGAGACATGTAGGCACCTACAGGCTACTGTAATACACTTACAAACGATTTCCATGAAAACCGGTATCAGATCATGCTACATTTTCTTCCTATTTTCTCTAACCTGCCCCTCTAGCACTACTTCCGCCCTGCCCCGAGAATTACTTACCTTTTATCAGATAAGGATCCAACATCTGTGCTTGTTCAAATTTGAGGACAGAGTTTTTATTGTCTCCAGCTCTGAAGTACAGATCTGCTAAGCTTCCCAGTAGATCCACGTTATCTCGCAATAATGACTTTTTCTCTAGAGAACTTTAAGATATTAAACATTGAACCTTAAAAAAAAATCTGTTATAAATCCTCAAAGTTGTTGAATCTATGGGTGACAGGCATATAGGCACTACTTTCTTTTGTGTATCTATTAAATTTTTCATAATAAAAAAAAAAACAACCTTTAAAAACAAACTGTGCACACCAGAGTTTCTTATTCTGAGCTTAAGATTTTAAAAAAAGTTATACAGGATAAGATAGCAAATATACAGAATAAAGCAGCAATCTCTCATTACCTAGAGAGAACTTTCTGGTTGCAGTTTTTCAATGGACAACATATGCTATATGATGTTAAATGTATGTTATTCAAGAGTGATAGCTCCTTGTTACTCAACCAAATGCCTGGTAACACAAATCCTAGGCTCTTGTCCTTGATTTTACCTGCCTAGAAAGAAAATCCCAGTCCTAGGGACACAACTCAGATCAGATGCTGCAATAAACTATGCTTCTGGGGTGTGCAAAAAGATGTCTTCCAGATTTAGACATGACACACTAAGGCAGTCTGCTTTGCAAGGGTCACTACTTTTGCAAGTGCAGAGCCAAACTCGGTCCAAGTTTACATTTAACAGGTGCTCAGCAGAGATTATTACATTTGGTACATTAAGAGACTAACAAAGCCCAGGGACAACTGGCTGCAACACCAAGAAATAAGCATCTAATTTTTCTGTTTTGCTAATTTAGATACATCAGATCTCCTTACAAGCAAAGGGCCTCAAGAACATTTAATTAATTTTGTGACTCTCACCAGATGGTATTGATTGCTCTTGAATTGTCACCAGTATGCACAAAAGCATATGCTTTGATCCACACAGAGAGCCAGTCCAAGTTAGGCACGGTCTGGATCACGTTCATGGTCATTGATGCCACCTCTGCACCTTTTACCGATAGCGACAGCAAACCTAACCCAACAGAAAGCAGAAGAAAGAAGGTGAGGCACGGCATCTGTCTTCCACAGTGCAAGCAGAACAGGCTGCTCTTTCACAGGCTACGAGGCAACCACTCCCCTATTCGAATCAAGACGCATATGACAAACATAACTTAATATTTCTTGATCAGTGAAATACATGACAACAGTAATCTATTAAATCACTCTCTAAAGGTGAAACTTTTAAAAAAATAAAGTTATTCTTATGTACTTCCAAGACTGAGAACTATTACATTAGAGAGTAAACACTCCATGAACGTAGGCAGAGAATGACGTGTACCCAGAATGGCATCAAGAGCTAATGGGCATTGCCTCAGCACTTCCTTATAGCTGGTGACTGAAGGGCGCTCCTGACCAGCTTTCTTGTACAAGTTTGCCAGCATCATGTTTATCTGTAATAAAAAAACAAAAGACAGTAAGATTAAGTGCATATTGCAAAGAAAATAATTCACCATCAATTTAAGTCCTGATTTTTATTACCAGTTAGTATTTTATTTTTAATGGAAAATCTATGCACAGCCCCATGGAAATAAACAAAGACCAACCCCATTTTTCAAACAGAAAATAACTACCTTTGCTTTTCCTATGTCCTCCCATTTCTAAAGGGAAAATCAAATTCCTTTCACTTACCCAACCAAAAGGTCCCATAATATCTGGACCAAAGATGCTGCCTCTGGAAATGGCAGTAACATTCATTTGAAAAATGTTACAGAATTTGAATTACCTTGATTCTTTCTTGATCTTAAGACAGAAGATGAACTACCCTAGAAGTGCTCAAGTTTACATATTTTAAATGCAATTAACATCAAGCCATAGAAAGTGAGGAATTCTTAACATAGCTAGTTAAAAAAGATCAGATGCATTTTCCCCAAAAAGGAAACGACAGACACAAAAGCACAATACTTGTCTTCTCTCTGACAATTAGCCTAGCAGCTAGACTCTATCTAGCCTTTCTCATGCTTAAAGCTTTGACCGATAGGTACTATCTGACTCATCAAAGTTATGCTACAAAAATCAAACCCTAACTGAGCTTTAGAGATGACAACAACCCAGAGATTAATTACACTATTTAAATAGCACAATTCAAATATGCAACTCCGGAAAGCTCTATTAAAATAACCTTTTCAAAAATGCAACAGGGAAAACTTGAAAAAAACTAAAAGTTCCAAAGACTGTAGAAGTTACAGGGAAGGTATAAATAATCTTAAAAGTTCAAAGGAAAAAACATATTAACCTAAGGAAGCAATCAACATGAGGGTACAAAAGAAAAAAAGCCAATCCCAATCTCTTCAATTATCTGTAGCTTCGTACACCAGATATTTACTCAAAAAAGTGGCTCTGAAGAGGAAGAACATGTTCCAATTATGGATGTACAGCATATAAAACAATCTAGTATGGCATAAGTCCATACTGATTCAAACAATGAAATAATACAATACTAGAAATAAAACTATTTTTCATTTGGCCTCAGGTTTTTCCATTTTAGGCTATGTTGAAAATGCGAAAGAAGGTACTTAAAGGAAAACTCCAGTATTAGTGTCAATACTTAAAAAGAATAAGAGCTTTAAGAACCTTTCCTGACCGCTTGTTATTAACAAACCATGACTGATGGGCCAACAAATATTAAAATTCCCTTTAAACTACCTGGCACTTCAAAAGAATGAGTTTTAAGTACTACCTAGTGAGAAAGTCAATTCTTTTTAAAACAGATACTGGGAACATCGCAAAGTCACCTTCCACCAGTTATAAACACAAGCAGTCATCATTTTCTAAAAACTGAGTGAGAAACTGGATGTTGGCATATTTGCTCTTGAAGTTTAAGATTTACCAAGATATAATAATCTCACACTGGAATTTTCCTTTAAAACGTGAAGGAATGTGTGGCGATGTTTACCATACATTAACAGACGTTCATTTAGACGTATTCTGACTCACTTCCTTGTCCTGTACACAGACTGAGAAGCCAGTTAACTCCCTAACGGACAAGAAAGAAAAACTGTAAATATTATAGGTTTATGTTTGAGGCACACATCTTTGTTTGCTCCTGGCTACAACAGCTCTACAGATGAAGAATATGTACTCCTAATAAATGCGGATTCCTCTGGTCCCTCTTAAAATGACAGCAGTAAACACCAAAGTGCTGGATACCACAAAACTGAGCTTCTCTGTCATTACTCATTGCCCCCAAACTCCTTGAAGTCATTTTTCCTCCTTGAGGAAATAATGGTGTATTTCCAATAAGATAATGAACAGGTATAATTCAAAGTTTATAATCAAAACAGCAGCTTCCAAAAGGAAGGTATTCTTCACATACGCAAAAAATTATTTTCCGGGCAAGTCTTTCATAGGGAACCAGAACACAACTTGGTGTATAACATTCAAGCTTATTATGAGGCAGGATAGTCTATAATATGCTCCCAAATGTTTTTAATAGCAGCCACCACCATAAAATATACTGAGGAAATAGCTTAACTGTAAAAATTCAGAAAAAAGTAAATACATTCTCATTATGAGGAGATAAACACATTCTCATCAAGTTTGGTTACTTTTCAAACTCAGGAACATTTAGGTGGAAAAACACTAAATACACTAGGTCCTTACTGCTTAGATTCCTTTTCTTTTAATGATAGCAGGATGAACACAGCCATCTTATAGATAAAATTCCTCACTGTTAAGCACAAGTTACACAGAACAGTTTTTCAATGAAGTGAGACAGGTGAGAGTATAAGGCAGAATATTAAACACTGATAGGAATTCAATCCTAAGAGCAAGGATTTGCATTGGTCCCCTAAACTGGATTTAAAAGAAAAAAAAGTTCAGATTGGTAACTTGCCCAAGTACACATTACACGCCGCTTGTACGCCCAAAACTCAGACAAGACACCAGGTCTTTTGATTTTAGTTAAAGGTGTTCTATTCACTATAATGTGTTGCCAAATCTAACACAAATACGTATCTCACACACAAATAAGTACAAAAGGCTCTTGTAGACTTGATTTTGAAATGAAAGGATTAATAAAACCACTCACATTATCAAATGGATACACCTACAGAATGAAAAAATAAGGGTCTAAAACAGTCTTGTTGACACCTGGAAGTGCACTGCAACTCATTCTTTTCTACAGTAAGAAAGACCAAAGACTAAGCACTTGTAGTATTCTCCAACTACCATTTTCATCAGCTGAATTTTCAGGGTCCCATCAGAAAGTCACTCTTCTATCTCTCTGAATCCCTAACTCCATTAACAAGGGATCAAACTGAAAATTAGAGGCAAGAGTAAAATGTTCAGATGGACTCCCTAATGTGTAAAGAAAATGGAAGAAGAGTGGTGGAAGGAATGGGAGTTGAAAATGATGTAACAAATGGTTAATTCAACTTACTTTGGGAGTTCTTTGTCTTGAAGGGATCCCATCAAGTATAGCAATGGCATCTTTATCTTGTTTTAGCATTGTGTAACATTCAGCCATTTTGTATTTCACTTCAATTTCAGATGGAAGACACTAAGAGGGAATGAAAACATCTCTTCAAAATATTATTTAAACAGTATGGCGGTTCTTCAAAATGTTAAACATAGGGTTACCGCATCACCCAGCAATTCTGCTCCTACTTATACAGCCAAGACAACTGAAAGCACATATCCACATAAAAACCTACACACAAATGTTCATAACATCATTAATTATAAACAAAAAATGAAAACCCAAATGTCCAACAGATAAGATATGGCATACCCATATTTTATGGATATGCCATATTATTTGGCAATAAAAAGGAATTAAGAACTGATTCATTCTATAACATGGGTCAACCTTGAAAATATTATACTAAGAACCAGACACAAAAGGCCACATATTGTATGGTTCGATTCATATGGTATGTCCAGAATAGGTAAATCCATAGAGACAAAAAGGTTAGTGATTCCCAGGGGTTGGGGAAATAATGGGCACTGGGTTTTTCTAGGGTGATGAAAATACTCTGGAATTAGACAGTGGTGATGGTTGCACAATTTTGTGAATATACTAAAACTCACAGAATTGTGAATTTTATGAGAATTATATATCTCAATTTTTAAGAAAGTTCTTAACTAAATGTAGTTAATTCAGACAAAAGGTTTAGCATGGTGCTTGGCATACTGAGTGCTAAGAAAGTTGGCTACTTATGAATGATCCTATGTGGATGATTATGACTTCCATTCAGTGTCAGAAAACAGAAAATCCCGGCAATGAGCTCTTTAATAACAAAAAAATAAAGGTTTTACATAAAGAGATATTAAACAAGATGAAGATCTACATGCTTTAAAAAAGCAAATACATGAATCTGTCTCTTTTTAATGTGGAAAAATACAAAGTAGAAAAAAAATGACTTATAGTTTCACTCCCAGTTCATTCTACTGACATTCCTTTTAAATATAAGTTGCATGTATAATTTAAATTTAAAGACAGGTTTAAACTGAAAAGTAAAAGTTCCCCTCTCCCTAAAGCTTTCAACCGCTAAATTTATTTCCTTCACACACAAAATCTTTCATGTATATTATCATATATATTTTAGGCATATTCCAGGATATATTTATGTCTCTATAAACCATCCCCCCTTTAAATAAGTACTGAACACACTGCTTCAAACTTTATTTTCTTTACTAATATGTACGGTTCTTTCCAAATCAGCACATACACTTCTATCTCATTTTTCATTTAATAGTTCCATTATATTCCATCTTATGGCTAAACTATAATTAACTAGACCTAACCAATGAACACTTTTGCTTCCAGTTTCTTACCATTATAAACAATGCTGCAATAAACAGCCTTAAGTATATATCCTGTAAATCTTTTGTGAGTCTACTATTAGGGTTAATTTCTAGCAATAGGATGGCTCCATCAAATGGTGAAATTACAAAACCCCCTTCATTTATTTAACTAATTATTAAGCAACTATCAAAATTGGCAGTAATTCTTAGATTTCCCATATATTTTCCCAGGTACTCAGTCATAAAATTTAAGTTACATTTTAAAGTTGTACTTTCATTAACATTCTAAAGACACTTCAGATTTTGAGTTCTGTTTGTATAAAACGGAGGAACAATGCATGACTGTGGTAAAAACCCAGATAATTCATGGTTCATTCCATTTTTAGATTTATCCAGAGTGAATTTTGCTTTTAGCCCTTAATGCTTGGTTGGATGCATTCTTTCACCTAAGTGGTTTTTCATCTTTGTTTCTCCAGTCAAGTTCCCTTTAAAATTACATTTTATTTTACCATCTTCTACATCTAATCATCAGTCTTGTAAATTATTTCAGTCTCTCTCACTGCCCCTCCCCCATCACAGTTCTTGTCTCCAATTACCTGACTTTGTGGAGTGGATGTAGAATTGCCAGTTGAAGGCCTCACTTTTGAAGTTTTACTTAGGGCTTTCTTCTGCTGTAAAGCCATGGTATACTTACTCACAGCATTGCGATACTCCTTATCATGGAACAGAGAATCTGCGTGATACACCAAAAGCTGGTACTTCTGAGATGGGGAGAATAACTCACTAGAAGACAAAGAAAGTATACCCCCTACGTGGGTTGTTTTGAAATGTCAGAAAGCACGTGCCCGCCCTTAATGTCCCTTCTTAGCGTCCAGCCTAGCACAAAGCCTATGTAATGACAGTTTACAAAAACGTAAAACATACCAGACATCGGGGCCCCTCCGCTCCCTAAACGCCGCCTTCAGGGTGCGGGCACGCCTTTAGCACGCTCCACAAGCGCGCGGGCGCTTTCTGAACACAGGCGCCGGGCGCACTTCGCTGGGAGTTAAGAGTGATGGAAAATATAGGCCTTAAACGTTCTCACCAGTGAGAAAAAACCAACACAACAAAAAACTGTAACTGCGCCCATAGTGAGGGGCGTTAACTAGACTTACGGTGGCGATCATTTCACAACAGACACAAATATTCGATCGTTACGGGTGTTCACCTGAAACTAATGTAACGTTCCATGTCAACTGCACCTCGATTTTTAAAAAATTCAGTGATGCCGACTATAAAACAGGGCAAAGGGGGCAGGAGAGTGAGGGCTGAGGGACAATCCCGGTGAGCGGAGGCGAGTTGAGCGGGAGAGACGCCGGCGTGGGAACCTGGGCACGGAGGCGGCGGGGCGAGCGCCCCGAGCTGAGCAGCAGCGGGCGGGGTGCGAGCACCGGACAGGACAGGCCGGGAGGGAGGCGGGAGGCCAGCGAGCAGAGGACACGGGAGCCGACCGGGGAGAAAAAGATGCCTGGCCCCGCAGGCCAAGCGATGGGGCTTTAATTTCAGCACAATGGAGGCGACGTTTAGGCCGCAGAGCGACCCGCCCGCAGGGCTGCCCGGAGCCCTGCGCCCCTTGGCTCGTGAGACCCGACAACGCGAGAGGGGCGCTCGCGACTCCGCACAAAGGCGCCACTCCCACCCATCGGGGTGTCTCCCGTGTCCAGGGCTTTGCCGAGGCGAGAGCGCGGGCCCTCCTAATACCCTCCGAGGGGAAAACGCGCCTCAGATGCGGGACGAAGGAATAAAACCAGGAGACGGCGCCTCTGAGGGAGGGAGAAAAACGTTCTTTCAGGGAGGAGGTGGGAGGGGACGAGTCCGCCCAGCGATGTGACAGTCGCTATGGCCGGTGACAGGTACCTCAGGAAACCCTACGCTCCCAACTTTCGGGGAACCCTCGCCAGGGTCGTCCTCAGAGCCTCTTCCATTTCTCGAAGCCGCCGCCGCCGCCGCCGCTCCAAACATCCCCCAGCTCCGGGCGCGACGCCGTGACCCAGTGAACTCAACTTGCGTTCCTAAGTCGGCTCCGCCCGACGAGGCCCTCGCTGACCCCGGTGCCTCCGCCTGAGGCCCGCGACCGCTTCCCGCCAGTCCCCAGGCCCCCTCAGCCCCCGCTCCCAAACAGGCGCCGCTTTCTCCTCAGCCCCAGGCCGCTCCCCGCCTCAACTCACGGGTTGTTATTACTCATTGTAAGTAACAAGCTGCTGAGGAGCCGCACGTTGGAGTGCAGCCCAGCGGCCGCCATGTCTCGCACGTGGTCTATCACATTCATCCTGCCCGGCAAGGCCGCGGGGAGCGGTGGCAGCGGCACCAAAAGCCGGTAGGAGAACCTTAGAGAAAACTCCAAAATGGCGGCTTCGCCGGGGTCCATCGGGTCCACATGTGGCTCCGCCCCCCTGGAAAATAGGCAACTACGGAAGTGCCTTAATAAAAAAAAAACACACACAAAAACCCCTCAGTTTCTTCCCCACCCCCTTTCCGGTGGAATGGTGGGGTTTGGGGGTTTTTGTTTGTTTTGTTTGCGCAGAAGCCACGTCGCCATTCCGAGTTGCATGCTTTCCTGAGGACTTGCACAGATGCGCCGGGGACAAAAGGCGCCTCCGCGTGAATGCATGCTCGAAGGAAACGAGTCTGAGAGGACTTTGTGTGTCTCAGAGATTAATAAAATGTATGAATAGTAATAAATACAAGTTAATACAGTCAGTTGTGTGTGTGCGTGGGGGGGAGCGATCCCTGCTGTATTTAAATATTTTAATCAGGCGCCAGGGGCAGACTTAACTGCTTCTCCGGCCACGCCTGCGCACTGGGCTGAGGGGCCACGCCCCTCTTCGGAGGCTCGGTGGGCACCCGGCGGAGTGAGGCTTCCTTCGGGCTTTGGAGGGGCGCCTTGGGGTCCGAGGCCTCGCTTTTTGCCCCGTGAAATGGCTCACCGGCTCCCCGCGAATTACGGCTAGGATGGGTTTTCGCCATCTTAATCTGTGTTGTTTTAGTTTGCAACTCCCTGGTCCACGTATTTTTTTTTTTTT